CTGAGCCGGTGAGATTTGAACCGCTGAACTGCTGATCTAGCAGTAGCCTGCAGTGCTGCATTTAACCACTGCGCCACCTTGGCTCTTAAAAGATGCTCTTCTGTTGGAAACAGGGAGTTTGCTATAGACTTGCTTCATGTTCTATTTTCCATGGCCAGCTTAACCACATGGCATCAAGCCATACAATAAAAATTTAGAGATCGGGGTGTCCTAAAAAATAATAATCAAATCAATTCATTCTGGTAAGGCCAGCAATTGCACAAACTCTCCAGAAAAAAAAATAAAACCACCAAGGTAACGGTGAGTTTTCACCGATGGAAATAACTCTGGGATAAAAGGTAGATTAGAATCATGGATCGTGGATCTCTGTGTCTTCTTACTCTGGTTGGGCTTTGAGAACGAGGTCTGGGAGGAGAGGGAAATTGCCACTGGGTGTAAGACATTTGCCCGGAGAACGGCCTTGATGAAGATTTCAAACTATTAAAAAAAACTTACTCTGTGCCGTTTGTGATGTATCCCACGGTTTCATTCACTGACATTGTACCCACAGTAAAGCTTCCAACATCAGAGGTGTTAAAAGAAGGCAAGCAACGATTAAGAACTGTAAATAAAAGAGAGGGGGAAATATAGATTAGGAATCATTCTGGTAAGACCATTGACAAGAACTATTCTTCTCTGCAAAGTCCCAGACCTTAGGGTGAATTACAAATGATTAAAACTCATTTTGAAGCAAATGCATTCATTTCCCCCTCCCCCACATCTTGAGCACCAATAACTCTCCTCTGGTCTATTTTCCTTTTTCCTGTTTTTTTCCCCCCAGACACTGGAAATGCTTTGGCCTGAAAACTCTTTGTGTCAATGTTTCTCAACTTTAAACTGGTGGACTTCAATTCCCAGAATTCCCCAGCCAACATGCTGGTTTGGACAATCCCTCTTTCTGCATCATAAAGCCACCAGACCAGAGGTGGTATTCAGCAGGTTCTAACCAGTTCTGGAGAACTGGTAGTAGTGGAAATTTTGAGTAGTTTGGAGAACCGGTAAATACCACCTCTGGCTGGCCCTGCCCCCATCTATTCTCTGCCTCTTAAATCTCAGCTGATCAGGAGGGAATGGAGATTTTGCAGTATCCTTCCCCTACCACGCCCACCAAGCCACAGCTACAGAACTGGTAGTAAAGAATTTTGAATCCCACCACTGCACCAGATCTTGGAAATCGAGTTCCCCAGATAACAAATCATATGATTTTATCTTGACTCAAAATGTCAATAATTATTTCTTTCTTTCATTTAGATTCTATTTTTCCATTAACAAACCATAGGTGGTGTAAAGTATTATCCTGGTTGGGGAATTCTGGAAGTTGAAGTCCACACATCTTAAACTTACTGGTGTACAAGATCTCCAAACTGATCTTTATCTTCACGATAGATCCTTCATACCCTAAAGGATCTATGTGCTCAGCTCTCCACCCCCCCCCCCCCTGAGCTGCGTCTTTGGCACTTGGAGCGAAACGCCCCCCCCCCCCCCCCCCCCCGTTTAAAGATACAGAGGTAGTGTTTGGGGTGCATTACAAAACAAAGCTAAAGCCATGCCTAGCATCCTGACTCACTGCATCCCACTCAGAGGGAACCCCAGAGAGCATCTAGATCAAACCCTGCACAATCCTTGAAGTATCCATTTCTATTAGCAGTATATTTCAACAAGGCTGGGAAGAATTCCAATGTAAATGTGCTGCCCGCAAGACTAACTACCAATTAGCTGAAACAATGTTTGGCTGACTTACAGGTAAAATTTCCATTATCCTCACACTTGATTTAATCTGGAGTGGATCTTGAATGGATAACCAATTAGTTTAGTTCACTTTTTATACTCTAAACGAATTCCTGAATTGTTACTATACCACCATTACTATAGGTAGACTTCACTTAGTGCCTGTGTTTGAAGTTACAACTCTGATAAAACAATGATTTTATTTGTATTTTTATCGTTGTAGCATTTTATCTCTCCCTTTCAGTCACATGTTCACCATTACAGTACCTTATGCTATCCACAAGTTTGTTTGTTCAATTTCCAAAGTCACCCCACTCAATACTGTGACTCTGTGTGGCTTACAATTAAGTTAACAAGTTCAGCTCTGTGATTGTAAGAGCTGCTGCCCATAACTGACAAGACTTTAATCACTTTACATATTTTACATATTTCCTTTAAAAAGGGGGGAAAAAATAGATCCAGGAAACCTTAGACCTATCAGCCTGACCTCAATACCAGGAAAGATTTTGGAAAAGATAATCAATCAATGAATTAGCAAACACCTAGAAATAAACAAAGTAATAGCCAAAAGCCAACGTGGGTTTGTCAAAAACAGATCATGCCAAATTAATCTTATTGCATTCTTTGACAAAGTGAC